AATAAATTGCTTAATTTTAATCATTTGTTGGAATCATGACTGGCAAAAAAATTAACAGGAATAATCTAAAATTGTTTTGAGAGGTCAAATACCATAAAAAAGATAAAAAGAACATTATAACTCGAATAAAAAGAACTGCAATGGGTTTAAGAAAAAGGCATTTTACTTTAGATGTAAATTGTTTAAATGGGAATAATTCAAATAAGAAAAATAAAATAAATCCTGAATATTTTAATTGTTCTACTTAAACTGAAAGATTTGAATGTTTCTTTTTTTTGTTGTTTTTTTCAAGATGCATATTATTATATCTCTCTGTTATTTTTATATGTTGTGTGACTGAAACCCTGTCACAACAATTTCCTGCCGGATCAATAAAGTTCTTATCTTATGTTATTTTCACCTTGTCCAAAAACTGTTTTCTGAATTTTAAATATTTTTCCTAAAACAATATCAACGTGAATACCTTGTAGAAAATATTTTAGTTATGTTTAATATAAGTTCCGATTTGTAAGAATGCAATTGAGTTTAAATGGACAGCTATTTAAAGAAATAACGGTGAGTGTAATTTATATGATACAACGACCTGCCTACGGCACCACGACAGAAAACGCGTCTCGTTTTACGGCTTTTTTTTTGTTGCTTCATTTACAGAACGTAGCGCGTCTCTGCCAGTCAATATTAAAGTAAAAGCGATAAATAAAAATGGCGTTAGAATCGCGGATCACACAGGAGGAGATAAAGAAGGAGCCAGAAAAACCCATCGACCGAGAAAAGGCAAATATTTCTATTTTATTCCATATCTTATTTGTTTCGTTTACCGTGTTGAGCATCGAGCTAACTGGTTAGCGAAATGCTAATACCAGAGTTTGCACCTGTGAAAACTGAAAGTAATTTAAAAACATGGGTCGTATGAAATAACATCTGCAAAGGTGTTTTATTTTCTTCTGTTTATTTTCTGTTTCGCACCAATTAAATTATGGTTAAATTAGTTAATATCACGGAAAGACCGAGCGGCGTGCTAGTAGCAACAGGCTAACGCTACATCTGCTGAAAATACATTTTCCTTTTATTAAAAAAAAAAAAAAAAATATATATATATATATAGTATGCAGTCATATACATAGATGTTAGCAGTTTATTAAACATTGATCTCATGAGCTTAGGAAGAAAAGCAATAAAGTTATAAGTTCCCTTGCAGCACGTTAGTAAAGCTAACCTAGCTAAGTTAGCTAAGTGCTAACTTCAAAATTGTGAACTTTTATAGAAAACAAAATATTTCGCTTTTGCATATTTTGTTATTCAGCTTCGTCGACTAATAGTTTACTAGTAAATACTTTAACGTTTTTATTTTGGGTCCGTGTAGTTTCCTAATAAAATCACCAGGGGGCGCTGTTACGTAATACATGTTCCGGTAAAAACTTTCAAAATAAAACCCGTAAAGTTAGTTTAAAAAAAAAAAAGTTTATGCCATGCTATGTTATGGAAAGCCATTTCATTCAAAATTATTCATCAGTTTTCCGTTAAATAAATAAATGCTCCCATGAAATTAAACATTTAAATATAATTTTTTTTTCCTCCAAGTTTTATTTTGTATTTATTTCAAGATTTACTTGTTTATTTAATAACGGACACTTTTATGTTGTAAAGCTACTTCACATATTTCAGCTGCGTTTATTTTTTTAACCCCGTTTTTTGTTATTTTAAGCTCTTTTTAGTTCATGTTATATTCAAATGAGGGGGCGGGGTTTTCTCTCATCTTTTTTTTTGACCAATCACAGCAGAGTATTCCTGTGGCTTGGTCCAGCTACCTTCAGATCGTGTTCAGAGCGTCAGGATGACATGGAGGACGCTGGAGAACTCCAAAGATTTGCTCATGAAATTCAGCGTTATGGCTTTCCGTACATTGCCACCTGTTTAGGTTGATTCTGCGTTCTTTTAAATTGGACCTGTTTTTGTGTTGAAGTTGAAAAATGTCTCGTCTTTCTTCTCGGCTGCAGACGTGCCCCCTTCTGCTAAGAGTATTCACCACCAACAGTGGGCGACATCACAGAATAGACGAGTTTTTTCGAGGCAACGTTCCTTCCAGTGAGCTGCAAATCTACACATGGTGAGGGTGCTCCTTTCCACTTTTTTTTTTAAATTTTTTAACGGTCGGTGTGCGTTGGAGGGAGACCAAAACGAGGCGTTGCGTGTGTTGCAGGATGGACGCTACTCTGAAGGAGCTAACCGGTTTAGTTAAGGAGGTGTATCCAGAAGCCAGGAAAAAGGGGACGCACTTCAGCTTTGCCATCGTCTTCCCTGACCCCAGAGGGAAAATGTACAAGTGGGTATCGCGCGGCGCCGGTCGGTCTTGTTCAAGCCAAGGCTTGTGATGCTTAATGTCTGCGATGTGCACGTTTCCTCTCCACGCTCAGGCTGAAGGACATCGGCAGCACCATCTCGGGCAGGAAGGGTTCGGACGACTCCATGACGTTGCAGTCCCAGCGGTTCCACATCGGAGACTATTTGGACATCGCCATCACGCCGCCCAACCGAGCGCCGCCGTTCGGCCCGCGCATGAGGCCGTTCTGAGCACGTGAACGCGTTGGACGCAGCGGCATCTCGTGTTTTTCTATTCTGACATCCTCTATGGTTTTGACTGATTTTATAAGTTGTGTTGAATAAAGCTGATCGCCCCCCCCAACAACGACGTCCTGCGTAGAATTTCATTTTAAATTTTTTAATCAATTAACAGAACATTTAATTCTTTTAGCTACGATGGTGCTAATTTTAGATAATCTGCTAAATTTAACTTTAGCTGTTGTGTTGCTAAACTTACACCTTCTGATCCACTAATTTTAGCTTTTAAATAATACGTTAAATAACTCTCTGTTTTGCTAACTAGCATTTTTTAAAGCAGTTTTTGCTAAAAGTAATTTAGCGACCGCATTTCAAAATTAACATTTTAGCTACCGATTTAATTTTAGATCATGCTTTGATTACTTCAAACTTAATTTAGCTTAAAGCTTTTAGCGAGTGCTAATTTAAGCTAATGTTTTGATAAACTAAATATAACTAAACTTATAGCTACTGATCTAGTAATTTTAGCTTTTAAATGTTTATTTATTTATTTAAATAACTTCCTGTTTTGCTAATTTTAAAAGCTTTTTGCTAAATGTAATTTTAGCTACTGTATTTCAAAATTAACATTTTAGCTACTGTTTTAATTTTAGATCATGTTTTGATTGCTTCAAATTTAATTTAGCTTA